GAATCCCAATATGATTTAATTGGAAAAAAACTGCTGTTCATTTTAATATTCAGAGTATAAAAATATTCATTTGTAGTTATTCCCACTATGTTTAGATCTCACCTTTTTTTCTGTGCTTAAACATAGGTAACTTACATTCCTGAAATAAGTATGAAAATCTAATCTTACTCCAGATTTACTCAGAAATTTCTATTAAATCAAATCCCATGTGTATCCCTCAAGAAGACACAATAATAGAGTAATTCTATAATAACAAACCCTACTAAATGTATTCCAATATAATCCTGTGGGACCTTGGGCCAAGTGATTTATCTTTTCTGGGCCTCAGTTTCCCCATTTGCAAAGTGAGACAGGTTGGATTGGATGATGTCTGAAGTCTCTTTCAGCTCTAGATAAATTTGAGCAAAGACTACAAGCACATTTATGATTTGTATAAGTACAAATCCTATTTTTGCAATTTAGTAGGTATTTAAAAATTATGCCAGCGCAGTTTAATGTACCTGCCAAAGTCTTCTAAAATTCTCGAAAATTCAAACTTTAGCGGCAACAAAAGGCTTTTTGATGACATATAAATTAGCAAAACCATCCTTGTCTGTGAATAGGCTATTTTTCCTCTTCCAAATCATATATACAAAGAATTGGGTTCTAAGCCTTGATTCTAGAAGGGCTGAGGGCCTGGGTCATCCAAGAAAGAAAGACTACCTCCCAACTCCCCTCAGTCTATTCCTGAGCAGCCCAATATGATCAATTTCCCTTTACCTGTGGCATGGTTAGAGGGCTTATGGTGCTCCTCTCTAGCTATTGAGTACCCCGTGAAATTTAAATGATTAACTCAAAAGATGAAGATACGAGGGCAACCCCTCAGCCACAACAGTCAGATGCTACGGGACAGAATGAAGGGAATAAATCGCCCTTCACTTCACTTTCATGCCCAATCCTCTCTCCAAAGGCTGGTCCAAATCTAGCCTACTCTTAGAGTTTAGCTCAAAACCATAAAAAGCTATCTGTCTCTTCCAAATCATTATTATCATTTTTTTAAGCATAGAAATTGCTGACCACGGGTAAGGCTAGACTGCTCTGTAGTTAGTTTTTCCCTGATCTTCAACATGTTAAAACAGAACTTGAGTAAATAACCATGTTTTTATTCTTCTCCTGGACTGCTACTCTCCCTATGTTGGCAGAATTTGACGCTTTGTAATAATGTTGGTTATTCATAATGTCATAAAGAAGAGAAAGAAAAGACAGTTTTGGGAGAGTCAGAGAGAAGAACAAAAGGCTGGGGGGGGCAGCAGTGATAGAACCATCTTGGGGACCATTCATCATGGGGAATCTAAACTGATTGGTCATTTTCTTCCCTGCTTATATTTTGTGAAGTCCTCTGGACCAGTGAGATTTACCTCAACCTGATAGAAAGAAATCAGTTGGGCAGAATGCTTAGAAACTGATCTTTTCTTCCACACTGGGAAAATGGTCTGCCCTTAGCACAGACCCTAAGAAAAAGGCTGTTTAAGAAGTCCAGGAATATCCATCCCTTATGTGACTACGGTAGGCACAGTCTGGGTCCTGAAGAAGAGAAGGCTAGCTTACATTGAATAAAGAGAATCCAAGGTTGCTGCTACGAGCTCCACCACAGGACACGATACAGATATAAATGGACTTGTGGGATCAGTTGAGGCAAACATGAGATGACACAGAGTTATGTACAACTGTGTGAGCTCAACATTTTATTTAAAAAAAAAGTAACTGTTTTTATATCAAGGCTAAATTCCATAATTTAATTTTAAAAAACAGTAGCTTGACTGTTTGTGATGTTTTGGGAGATACCTCTGCCCTCTGAGAAAAAAGGCCTAAAACCTTTGAACCTTAGTTTTTGAGGATCCGGGTTAAACCCCAAAGAAGGCATGTCAACAAGGGAGAAAATAACAAACTATACTTGAGCGTAAGCTCCTCCTCTCTACTAAATGAAATATCCAGAGTGAGAACAGTGGCGGGGCTAGGCCAGGGGCTGAAGTGAGAACAGGACATTTGCCGTTAATGTACAGTCTTGCCATGTAAATAAAGACATCTGAAGAAGCATACAGGTTTGAAGCTGCTCGAACATTCTATCCTAATTAGAAACATTTCAAGAGCCCTGTAATTTCCAATCAAAATTACAGTAATTTCCGATATACAAGCCATGATTCATGACAGAATTCTACATTCCATGAGAGATTACAGTGGCCTGATGTATGACACGCTGAGTACAGCACTAACATAAACAATTCAGTTTAATGTTTAAACACTACTTGCTGTTTAGAATCCCACAATAAAAGAAACATATTATTGTAGAAATTATCACGTTGACAGTGATTGAAGGGTAGGCAGGCATGTGGCCTATAAAGCTATAATTTTTACAGTCCACAGCCTGAGCTTAATCATTTTTATATAACATTTCCAAAATCTCCCTTAAGTATTCCTTACAGCCTATAACTTAAAAAAGAGCAACCGAATCCTAAACTGAAGCTTACGTTAAGTTCCACAAGTGATGTTGCAGCCATAAAATGTTTTTAAATGCTAAAAATGCGTATTATAACGTCGCAGACCAAATACATGATTGTATGTTTTACCAGAAATGGACAGCTAAGTGATTCTCAATAAAATCACTTGGGAGAACTGTTAAGAATACCAGTTTTCTAACTCTGGGGGAGGTTACTTGCAGACAGGGCTCATTCGTACACTAGTCGACAAGCTCACTGGGGTGCAGGGGCTAGGCAGCTTGTGATCAGTGAGGCTCCAGAACCCAGGACAGGGACTTACACAAAGCAGGAACCTAGTAGATGCTTGGTCAACTGCATTAGGCATGGTAGAAGTCAGCAGTTTGTAAAACCTGATATTAAAGCCCAGAATGACCATAACACCTTTCATAGAAATGTTTTCCAATGTTTATGTTGAAAAGAGAAAATAATTCTGTATTCTGTTCAGTCTCTTAGCTCCTCTCTTAATTGTGTTGTGAGCACATGCGTATACAGTTTGATTTTGCTCACAAAGATTATTTTACTTGTGATGAAAATAAAGTGACAAATCTGTAGCAATACTACTTAGAATATCTTTTCACTTTCTATTTCTCATGAGATGAATAGACTGCATAATTTTTACTTTTCTGCCTTTATATTCTCAATTTTCATAAATTTATAATACATTGTACATTGTAATTAAAACACTTCATACATCTATACTATTTGGAAGATTTTTACATAAAAGGAAAATATGCAATATGTCAATATACATGAAAATTTATTGGAAGTTAAAGAATTCAGCTTTCCTTATAACAGTAGAAGTTAGCGAGGAGAGGTTATAGTTAGAACAAAAGAATCAGAATTATTATTTTAAATATTTATATGAGGGAAGCCAAGGTGGTTAGAATATTTAAGCAACAGTAATAATTCAGGGCTTCCCCTACCCACATAATATGCTGCTCTGTGACAATACCCAAAATTTCCAGTTCTCCTATACTTGTAAATAGGATCCAGTGGTGAATTTTAAAAATGTTTTATTCATCATGACCAAGTAGGATTTGTAAATGTAATGTTCTCTCTCCCTAAACTACCTTGTATTAATTATATATAATGTGTGTGTGCATGTGTATTATATACATATATACACATATAAAATATATATACATATGTATATGTGTGTGTATGTATATACGTATACACACACATATGCTGTCTCCTCCACTAGAATGGAAACTCCCTGAGGTCAGGGACTATTTCATTTTTGTCTCTATATCCCCTAACACAGTTCCTAGAATCAAGTAGGAGCTTAACAAATACTTGTTGTTTGATTGATTGATTGATTTTTTTCAGACTGTCCCCTACTCTATTCCCACGGTCCAGCTAGTCTATTCTGAACCTTCTTTTCCCTCTATACTCTTTGCCCTGAAGTCTCACCCACTCTGCAATGATTGCCTCTAGGCAGATGATGCTTAGATATTTATTTCCATCTTTATTTCCATGTTTTAATCTCTCTGTTCAGCTACAGTGCTGCATTTCCATCTGCAACCTGGATCTCTTGCCAGCAACCAAATTCTACATGTACAAAATTGAATATATCCCCTACCAAAACCTGCCCATGCTCTGGACATCCCCATTTCTGTTGAGAGTACCAACATCTTCCCAGTCAGAACAACACCTCTAACTCATCTTTGACTTTTTCCTCTTCCTCCTTTCACACCCAATCAGTGGTCAACTTCTGTCAATTCTACTTCCTCTAACCCTAATCAATTCTTTCACAAAGCCACCAAATTGATCTTTTAAATATTCAAATCTACATTTCTTCCCCACTCCAAAGGCTTTAGTAGATCCTTACTGCTTATAGAGGAAACTACGAACTCCTTAAGGCAACATTTAAGGTCCATCACAATCTGACTGCAACATCTACAGTTGTATTTCGCATTCTTTGCTGCCTCTTCCTCCACTACCATGTTCCAGTCAAATTAGACCCAGTAGTTATTCTCCCATTTTGTCCAGCTCCTGTCTTCCTCAGCTTGTTTCTGCTGGGCATCCCTCACACCCGGAACACAATCTAGCCATGTTTTCTCTTGTTAAACCCATCTTTTCATTGAAGAAACAGTTCAGGTATAACCCTTTCAAAGCCTTCCCTACTGCCATCTGAAAGCAATGTCTTATTTACTCTCATCACGCTCTACCTAATATTGGATGTACTTGAGTACATATTCTATCCCCCTCTATTATATTAAACAAGGATTAGGGTAATTTTTCAGCTTTGTATCCCTAAGCACCCAGATACTCTGAATAAATGTGTAGTGAATTCAATTAATACCCCACAAAAAATTATGCTCTCAACTAAAGTATACTGTTGACCCAAGGCATGACTCAAGAGCATAGAGAAAAGAGGTGATGATGTATTGACAACCCTACTGGCATCATTTATTTAAAACCAAACCAAACAAAAAACCCAACCCAAACTTGTTGATTCCTGGTTTCGGGTTAGGCTCTTACCTGGCTTTTGGTTGCTGCAACCTTTGCAAAGAGTGCTTGGGACACCTTTGCTCGCTTCATTTCCTGCTGAATCTCATCGTAAATGGAAGCATTAATGTTCATGGCATTGTTCTCTGGCTTCCCATTCCGTTCTGTGGCAATTGTTGCTGTTTTTACCTATGACATATTTTAAATATGACTGTCATTCTTTGGCAGTGAACAGAGAGACGTTGCATTGTTCAGAAGATTTGCAAATACTGTCTCCAAACTGGATGATGCTGTACTTTTACAATAGACTTTTCTACAATTTGGTCATCTACCATTATGTCCTGCCCAGAGATCAAGCTGCCTGAGCTAAAGAAGTCATATTGTCACAGGTGACTGCATTTGTAATAGGAGAGTCTTTGCCAACTTACAACTAGGAATTACAGTGTCATAAAGTGAGTTTTCTGGAAAACAGACAATAGCTCCAAAGACTTGAAAACCCTAAAAGAATTATTCCCCAATTATCTTAAACTGCAATTCTAACCTAAAAAAAACAATTAAAATCATAATGTAGAGTGATATTTCTTCATTGGTGCCCAATGCCTAATACAGATAATTATATCACTGATAGGTATTACATATTCGTGGCCTTTTAAATATTAGGCTTCGCTTTTATGCTTTTCCCTCTTACCTGTTTCATTTTAAAAATCTTCCATAACAAAGCAATTTACAGTACTGCATATTTAAATCTTCTATCCATCCATGAAACAGGTATAGTGCCTTTCCTAATTATCATAAAGGCTTGTTCTACTTTATACGTGTATGTCCAAGCTGTTCTGTAATTATTCCATCTTTTTCTGGCAACCACATATGTAGTTTTTCCTTCTGACTTGTGTCCCCACACTATCAAGGACTATTTCCCTCTATCTAAAAAGAACATTATTGTACATTACTCAAAATGCACAATGGTTCAATAAGATTTTTTAATAATATGTGACCTTGAAGTGAAGCATCAGCATTGAGGTGTATCAATGAATATGAAAATGCCAAATTGATAATTTCAGGCAGTGTCATAGATCTTGGGCAAAAGCCAAACTCAACTTTAAAAGCTTACTGATGTTACCATTGTTTTTTTTAAGTTCAAATAAGTAGATGTTCTGCTACATTTAAGTTTTTTTTTAATGTGGGTTGATATTAATTAACTTGAGAACCTTCATGAAATATACATAGAAATGAAAAGATTTTCTTCACTGTGAAATTAAATGTTAGCTGGTTTAGAAGGGAAATCTTATCACAAATGTACTTCTCCAACTACAAGAATTTCTTAAGGACCTAATTTTGTATGGGACTGTACAGAGACCTAGATCCTTTCTATTAGTAACTTTAAAAAAATCTCATTAGCTAATATATAACAGAAATAGGACAAAATCAATTTAGTTTTAGGATGAACTAATGACCTCTGAATTTCTAAAGATATGTTTCCCCCTTCTAATGTTACACAATTTGTCCAATGCAAAAAATTCATTTCCATGTCCCACAAAGTGCTAGGCATAAAAGAGTGGTTTTAAACAAGGGAAATTATTTTTTTCTCCCATAAATACTAAATTTTTTAAACATTTGCTTCAACAATTTATATTCCTAATTTTTATAAAACTGTTCTTGGACTGTGAGGCAATTATTATACTGGCTGAATTTTTAAATTGCTTTTTGAAAACAGAGAAGCTGTTGATAAGTAAAAGAGAAACAAATGCACTATGTGGAAAGTAAGACACCCTGGACCTTCATTTCCCTTCACCACTAGTAGCCAGATGACCTTGGGAAACTCAACCCCTCTGACCTTCGGTGGCCTCACCTGTGAAATGTTGTTGTCAAGCTCCTAAGGTCAGGGGCTAGGCCAGAAAATACCTTAAGGGAGATCCCTTCCAGCTCTGGAACTAATGATCCAAGTTATCTAATGACCCTTTCATAGGTGTAGTGACATAAAAGGTCCCGGTGAAGTAATTTGGGAAATGAAATTGAAGAGTCCCCAAAGGGCTAACACATTTCTAGAAAGTGCCCACACCAATGTGGTTTAAGATTTGCAATTTATCTATGAGATGGTCCTGCTTTGAGGCAAAAGAATACACATGTCATAGTGATACTTTCATTCACTATTTTTTCCCTTCACTGCTTAAGTGATAAAGAAAAATAATTTCAACATTACATTGAAAACCCTTTGTTATGGAAATCCTGCAGGGGGTATATGTTCCAAAAAACATTGGAGGCAAAGAGTACAGCTAGAGCAATCTACTTAACAAAATGTAAAGTGTAAACTAAAAACATAGCTCTGGGTAATTCTCAACAACAACTCTTTTCACTCCTTTGCAAAATGCACATGCTTGCTTTAGAGTTTAGCATATGGTATCCGGACTCCATTCATCTCTTTCAGTCCTCCCATTTGTTTTCTGGGTTCTGTCCAGCACAATCTCTCTTGAAAGATCACAACTTTAACTAAAAAAGCACAACTTATAAAATCATATAAATAATCCACTCAAAAGCTTAATATCATCATATATCACAGCTGTGGCTATTTTCGGGTGGAAACCAAGATCTTGACAAGCTGCTTTCTGGGTTTTTTTTTTCCCCTAAAAACAAAGAATGTAAAAAGAACTGCAGTGTTTACAAAGGCAAGGAGAGTAAACTTTCCTTAGTCATTTAAAAAATATTTAGAAAAAACTTATCCTTCCCAGCTTATCTGCTCAGATGCATATCTCATCGTAGAAGATTGATTATGGTTAGGAGAATTTATGGAAACAGTTTTTCAAAACAAGACACATGCTATTGCTTAAGGGGTAACCAAGTTGAACAGGTTTTCACAACCAGGGAAGCTCACATTTTTTCCCCCAGGGAAAAACCGAAATAAAATTTTTTTTTTATCTCACACACTCTACCAAATCCTGTTTTAGCTTAAAACAACAACAATAACAACAACAACAAAGACAAAAACAAACCCACATCCTTCTTTAATCCAGGTTTAGCTTTTAATATTATGTCCTAAATTAAAATTCATAAAGTAGCTCATTCCAGGCGAAACCCCTTTTCAGCTCTAGTCGGCAAACATCACAGGCAGTATAATAAATGCAGTTGCTTTCAGAATAGCTTTTATCAAGGCAAGATTTGCTACACACTCCATGAGTACAGAGCTGCCCAGAAGTACTGTTAGATTTATGTGTTGGAGTGTTCATTAGCTCTTCTCCCCTGTGGGAATGGGCGACACCATTGGGTGTATTCGTCATCATTTATCATTAAGGCAAAACTTTTCAGTTTTAAAAATCATTTCCTGATTATTTATGATTTATAGGAGGCACAAGACACTATTAGATTATCTGAATTTGTAGCATTTTCTATAATCTGTGTTCAGCATTCTGTTGTTCAGTTGTTTCACTCATGTTTGACTCTCTGTGACCCCATTTGGGGTTTTCTTGGCAAAGATACTGAAGTGGTTTGCCATTTCCTTCTCCAGCTCATTTTACAGGTGAGAAAACTGAGGCAAAGAGGGTTAAGTGACTTGCCTAGAGTCACATAGCTGGTGCCTGAGGCCAAATTTGAACTCAGGTCTTCCCGACTCCAGACTTGGCACTCTACTGCACCACCTAGTCGCCCTCCAAGTGTTCAGCACAGGATGTATGACAGTTCCAAGGTTCAGGGGTTTATATAGAAAAGTTCTTGTGAAGACAAATTGGGAACAATTTGGGAAAACTATTCTGATCCATGCCTTAACAACTTAGTATGATTAATTCAAGCATCAGTTTTGCATATGTGATTTTAAGAAAGGAAACTAAAAATATAAAAGTTATCTTAGCAATATTACCTAAAAATGCAAGATTTAATTTTGAAGTATTTTTTATTTGTCCCTGAAAAATACCATCACTGTTATGAGTAATGATTGTTTAATATTTGGGTTCGTGTGTTTTGAGGATCTTTATTTAAAGTAATAAGGTTAATTTTGTATAAAATTTGCATATTTATTCTCTAACTTCTTAAGAAGAAAATCAAGAGAAAAGTTTTTTTTTAATGTCACAAGTCATTTGGAAGCTCCCTATAATATGATCTATGGCATCTCTGCCATGGGTTATATGTGTTAATGTAGCCATTTCAGAATGAGACGATCCTAATATATCTTCCTTGTATCGGGATCTCAGGCACAATGGATTCTGCAAACAAGTGGGGTGGGTTAGAAGGGGTCAGCAGAATACTTCTATGAACTTTATACTGACGTAGATTTTTCACATATAATTAAAATATTTCCTAAAGCGCTGTTCTTCTAAAACACATAATACACATAATCAATATTTAAGTTTAATAAACATATGCTTTAAAAGACTTTTTTAAAAAATTCTTATAATTTTTCTTAAAAGTAGCTATTGATTTTTCTCTAAAATTCTAACTGATTAAAGAATGAATTAAAATTGTTTAGGCTCAGAAATTTTCACCCTAAAACTGATCTGAGCTTTTTTCCCTCTTAAAAGAGAGGCGGGGAGGGGACAGGGACACAGAATATAAATGGCTAATTTTGCATAAACTGCCACACACTTGTGGGAGGGATGGGATAACTAGCATTGACGTAATGCTTTAGGGCTGGCAAAGATCTTCACAAATATCATATCATTTAATCCTCACAACAACCTTGGGAGACAGATTCTATTATTATCTACCCGTTACAGATGAGAAAATTGAGGCAGACAGAGGTCAAATGACTTGTTTAGGGTCACACAGCTAGTAAGTGTCTGAGGCCAGATGTGAACTCAGGTCTTCCTGTCTCCAAGTCAAGCACTCACTCTATCCAATGTACTACCTCTGGTTTCATAGTGGATAGGGAGGATATAAGATGATTTCCAAAAAAGGTATCAAAAAAGTATTTTTAAAAATTGGCCTGGAGCAGAGAAACTAATTTTCAATTCAATTCAAATATTTTATGTGCCATGAAAAATGGCATTATTGAAATTTAGCCTAAATTTTATTTAGAACACTTTATAAGATCAACCAGGAAATAACTTTAAATCCAAAAAAGTCTTCATCGATTGGTTGGTTGATTCACTTTTTTTATGGGGTCATAGATATTAGTAGTTATCAAATTCATCTGAGGAGGCAGAGCTGTCCCTAAATTTTTGAATCTAGAACAAGGTTAAATGCATCTTAGGTGCACACTCAAA